CCTGGGGATTTTCCCGACTCAGGGACTGAACCCGCGTCTCTTACCTCTCCTGCACTGGCAGGCAGTTTCTTTACCACTAGCGCCACCTGGGAAGCCCTCTGAGCCCTTATCTCAAAGAAATCAGGTGGCATTTTCCAAGGGGTAAGAGGAAGGACTGATGTTGAAGCTGAAACTCCAATACTTTGGCCATCTGATGCAAAGAGCTGACTCACTGGAAAAGACCCTGATGCTGGGAAAGACTGAGGGCAGGAGGAGAAGGGGACGACAGAGGATGAGATGGTTGGATGGCATCACCGACTTGATGGACATGATTTTGAGTAAACTCTGGGAGTTGGTGATGGACAGGTAGGCCTGGTGTGCTGTGGTCCATGGGGTCGCAAAGAGTTGGACACAACTGCGTGACCGAACTGAACTCACATCTCCTGCATTGGCAGGCAGTTTCTTTACCTCTGAGCTGCCAGGGAAGCCCCACATAGCTATCTAACTTACACCTAACTCATCTCATGCAGATAAAATGGGTCACCAACCAAAGAAAAGCAATCTATTTAAAATGAGGTTTTCACCATGAAACAAGTGAATGACGCTAATCTTGGTTTGACTACTAAGAGGGGTAATATTATCAAAAGTTCTTGATGAGATAAACGAGAACTGATGCTCAACATTTCTGAGCATCACCAGACAGGACATTGTTCTGTTTTTCTGGATTTTAGTCGCCCACGACACTGAAGGTAGAGAATGTGTCTTATTCATCTTCATATCACCCAGGGAGACTCAGTCCTTAGGACCTGAGAGTTCTAAGATCTGAGACCATTTGGTTGAATTTCCCGTCTTGTAACTGGGGTGACTAAGGGAGAGAGAAATGAGAATCTGAGCCCTTATGACAGTTACAGCAGGAGAGAGGATAAGAACCTGGTTTCCTGATGGCCAGGTCCCATTCTTTAAAACATTATTTCTAAGCTGACCATGTGTCTAGAGTGCCATTGCACTGGCATAAGTGTCTGGGTACAGATTATCTTAGTTATATAATAGTGCCTTCCCCACCCCTTCCATGACTATGTGAAAATTTTCACTAAGAGTGAAAATGTTAGTCCCTCAATCATGCCTGGACTCATTGCGACCCCCATGAACTGTAGCCCACCAGTCTCCTCTGTCTATGGGATTCTCCAGGCAAGAATACTGGAGTCCTTCCCTTCTCCATGGGATCTTCCCAACCCAGGGATCAAACCAGGGTCTCCCACACTGCAGGCCGTTCTTTGCCACTGAGCCACCAGGGAAGCTCAGTAACTAAGTAAGGGAAGAGAAGAATGCGGGTACTCCTAGACGAAGGTGGTAATCTGAGTACTGCTTAGGCCCAAGTTATGGCACAGTTGTAGAATAGTGTATATCGCAGAGATCATGAATGTTTACAAAAGAAGGGATCTGAATTCATGGGTCACCCTCCTCTCCCATCAGAGCCTCTGAGCTAACAGTGACTTGGTACTGCCATGTGGATGCTAGCACAGAAGGCAAGATGGCGGTGTGGTGTCCTCACGTGGGGTATTTGCAAGGAACTGTTGCTGGGATAAATAAGATGCGCTTGTCCTGTGATATAAATTCCCACTGTGAAATCATGAAAGTCTGAATTGGTCAAGTCGATGGCAGTGATGAGGGGAAGACATGGGGGGAGGTGGGGTGGAGGGGTGAATGCGTCTTTGTTTCCAGGTCACTCTGCACGCCTCACGGTGCCAGCCTGTTGAGGGGCTGAGTCTCTGGAGTGTCCTGTTCCTTCATTCTCAACTCTGTGTCAAGTCAACAGCAACACACTTTTACATTGTTCTGCATCCCCAATTACGTAACACAAAGCATTGGGCATGTAATATTGGATGCTTATAATTTCACTTTACAAACTTTCTCCCCCCAAGATCAGATCTTTCTGTATGTTAACAAATGCCCACATTAACGTGTAACCAGGTTTCCCTGGTGGCTCAGACGGTAAAGTGTCTGCCTGCAATGCGGGAGACCCGGGTTCGATGCCTGGGTCGGGAAGATCCCCTGGAGAAGGAAATGGCAACCCACTCCAGTACTCTTGCCTGGAAAATTCCATGGACAGAGAAGCCTTGTAGACTACAGTCCATGGGGTTACAAAGAGTCAGACACGACTAAGCAACTTCACTTCACTTCACGTCATTCATGATAGAAGGGCTTCTCTGGTAGCTCAGATGGTAAACAATCTGCCTGCAATTTGGGAGACTCAGGTTCGATCCCTGGTTGGGAAGATCCCCTGGAGAAGGGAATGGAAACCCACTCCAGTAGTCTTGCCTGGAGAATTCTTTGAACAGAGGAGCCTGGGGGGCTATAGTCCATGGGGTCACAATGAGTCAGACACCACTGAGCAACTAACAGTTTTTCTTTCATTCATGATATAACAGTATTGATCTTAGGGCCAACTCATGTTAAGCTGGATATATTTTCTTTTTGATGGAAAAGAAAGGAGAGGTGGTTGGAAGTAGGGACCTTGTACACATCCCTTCACCTCTCCAGTTGGTCCCTTTTTGTCACCAGTTCCACCCATACATCTGGAGTTTGGGGCCAGCAGGCTCCTCATATCACCTTGTGCCTGATACAGCTCTTCTCACGTGATCCCATCTGACAGAGACCTGTGCTCATTTCTATGTGTCCACCTGCTTATGTGAGAGCAAGTGAAGGAGCAGGGCGGGTAGCACGGTCATGATTCCCGGCCATCAGCTTGAAGGAACAGTCTCTGAGAAGGGGCTACTTTTATGGGCAGGTCTAAAGCAGAGCTATCTGGTCCACAGGGCGATTGATCAGCCCTTGACCTTGGCCTCCTTAGCTCCATCCTTTTACCTACTGAGCTCACTACTGCCAACAGCACAGCACTTGAGGGCATATCACTAGGGCGTTTTGGGTCGTGCATTTGTATTTTCTTGGTGGGAGACGGGCTCGGAGAGGGGCTGGTGTTCCCTACTGAGTGGCTCCTGCCAATGAGAACAACAAACAACACCTGCTCAGGAGTCAGATTAGGCTGAGGGGAGGAGGGAGTTGTCATGAGGTGAGGCTATCGGCCACCAATCACAGCTGAGGATAAAAAGGGGAAGAGAAATTCCAAATAGGAGTTTTCCTTTTTATAAATAATGAGAAAAAGAGAAAACAGACAAAAGGACAAAGAGAAAACAAATAAAAGACAACCCCACTCCCAACTGGATTTCCCAGGTGGCACTAATGGTAAAGAACCTGCCTGCAATGCAGGAGGTGTAAGAGACGCGGGTTCGATCCCTGGGTTGGGAAGATCCCCTGGAGAAGGGAATGGCAACCCACTCCAGTATTCTTGCCTGGAGAATCCCAGACAGAGGAGCCTGCTGGGCTATAGTCCATGGGGTTGCAAAGAATTGGTCACAACTGAAGTGACTTAGCACGCACACACCACCCCCAACAAGCCATCACACACATTTTGTATCTGAAGATGCAGCCTACATACTCTGCTTCTAATATCAAGCTTCAGTAAACTCACCTCCTGCTCTCTGGAGTAGCTTTTGGCTACTATGCAAATGTATAGGGCAGGAAGGGTAAAAAAGCAGAGAAACCAAACCGGGGCTGACAGGCAGCAGCTAAATTCAGCAAAGGTAACACTGGGGGAAGACAGGCTGAGAGGCACAGATAGGGAGCCTGCAAGAAGCACAGGTTTATTCTCCATCACGGAGGCGAGGGGACCCGCTGTGAAATGCTTGGCACATGAAAGAGATGCCGGTCAGGTCGCCTGGAGCCAGGCTGTGTTTTGTGAAGTGTTAATTAAGAAAACACATAACTTCTCATTTTTTAATTTGCCAACAATGAAACAAAAATAGTGCTGCTCTGGGGGATGCTCCATCAGTTTAAGGAAATGCTTCTAGAAACACAAACAAACAAAAACACAGGGTTTTAGGCCCCTCATAATCTGGTCAGAAGGATACATTTAAAAGAATTACTGTGGTTCCCAATTCAGGCAGAAAGATGTGGAGGATATGCTCCCAGGAGGCCTGATACATTGCAGTTCAACAGAACAGGGAGCAGAGGAAGATTTTTTACACCCTATTTCTGTCCCCAAACACCTGCTGTGGAGCTCTGTCCGGGGCCACAATTCAAGTCTGGTCTTCTGTTCTGTTTTCTACCAGTAATTTGATAAGAACCATGTAACTGGCCAGAGCCGAGTGGTGCCTGGAACGTCTGAACTAAGTCTTCCCACTGAACACATGGCAAGACGCCGCCTCCAGAGCACGAGGATGAGGCCCCCCGGACCCCCATCAAGTTCACAGGGTTTGGGTCTCTTTTCTTCTGCCAGCACATGTGACCCTCTGCTCAAAATCTTCAATGACTCCCCCATTACTTTGCTCCACAGCCCAGAAATCAAAGTCCTCCATTCCTGCTTCTAATCTTACCTCCTTGGACTGGTTCTACAGCAGCGAAATGTGGATCACTGTGGAGACAGGGGGATGGCTCCCAGGGGGATGGCTCCAGTTAGTTTATTCTCCCTATTTGGGGTCTGTTTGAAATCTTTCATCATCAAAGGTAGGGGGAAAAGAAAGATAAGCTCTGTAACCCCAGTCACGTGATTGCTCTCTATTCCAAGGATGTAACTCCATCTTGGGTCCTCCTGGAATGTTCCCCCACTTCATTCCTGCTTATCAGAACTTCAAGGAGACCTGCAGGCCACCTCCTTTGTGACGCTGAACCTGATGCCTGCACTGGCTGTCATCTCCCCTTCCACCTTCTCTTTATGGTGCCTGTTACAGCTATTCTTTGTTATTGATGTGCGTATCTATCTCATCTCCTCCCCGAGACTGGGAGTTGCAGAGAACCAAAGAGAGATCTTATTCACCTTGGCATTTCCCTTAGGGTCTCAAACACAGTCAGTACTCAGTAAATGTTGGTCAAATGAAAAATGAATCGCGTGAATAAGAACAGAGAGACAGCAGAAGCTCTGGGGTTAGGCTACATCTCGGACAAGAGAGTCGCCTCCCGGGTACCTTCTTCATGGTTCTGGTGAAGAATGACTTCCTGCTGCGTGTGTATCGAGTTTCCGGGGTGGAAGAACGGTGAGAAAAGAATCCGGGGTTTCCTCTGCTTCAGAATATGCTGAAGGAGTTCATAGAGCACATCACCTGGGGAGAAAAAGCAGAGAGAAACAGGGAAATGGGAGTGTTCCGTTCAACAACTATTTGCTGAGCTCTAACTCTGCGTCTGCCACTGTCCTAAAGACATGATGTTGAGGAAGGCAGGTCTGTCCATGGGGAGCTTACAGGGGATAGGATGTGGCACTAAAACTCAGAAGGTCAGAGCCATATGCGACTTTTTAAAAACTTTTTTGATTATGAAAGTCACATACAAAAAAGGAATAGGAAGGTAGAAAGAAAACAAAAGTCATCTATAATCCTACTCCTAAGAAACAAGAACCCTGTTAATACTATACACAGTGTATTTTTGCTGAAGAATTGATGCTTTCAAACTGTGGTGCTGGAGAAGACTCTTGAGAGTCCCTTAGACAGCAAGGAGATCAAACCAGTCAATCTTAAAGGAAATCAAACCTGAATATTCACTGCAGGGACTGGTGCTGAAGCTGAAACTCCAATGCTTTGGCCACCTGATGCAAAGAACTAACTCACTGGAAAAGACCCTGATGCTGGGAAAGTTTGAGGGCAGGAGGAGAAGGGGACGACAGAAGATGAGATGGCTGGATGGCATCACCGACTCAGTGGACATGAGTTTGATTTGAGCAAACTCTGGAAGATGGTGAAGGATGGGTAAGCCTGGTGTGCTGTAGTTCATGGGGTTGCAAAGAGTTGGACAAAACTGAGCGACTGAACAACAACAGTATATGATATAGTTATAGAATTAGAATCAAGCTTATCATAGTTGAGTATCTTTTTCCCTCCACATCATTCAAGTGCTTTAGTAACTGCAATATAACAGCCTGTCATAGCGATGTACCAGACTTTATTAGAAACTTAAATTGTCTCAACTTATTGCTATTCCTTTTATTAAAAAAATAAATGTTTTATTTGCATTTTAGATTATTCAAAGAAGATCAAGTCATTAAGGATGAAAAGTTTTAATGTTTCAATGACAATTCATGGATTCTTCATAGAAATCTTCCCAACAGAAAAAAAAAAAGTGCCTTTTTCTAATCCACCCCAATCCCAGGCAGGAAAAGAATAAATATGAAAAAAAAATTTACAAGTCTAATCAGAGGTGCTAACTATTAATATTAAAGATACCCTATAATGAACTAGCATATTCTGGGAAGCTCAAACTTATGCTTCCTTCTAAAAATACATACAGGCATTGCTCCCAGGTTCCACCATCCCAAAAAATCATTTTTGGATGTCAGCTCTCGCAGAGGATGGGAGGGGCTGGTTTGAACTGGGGGCCTTCTGTGCTGATATATTTTGTATTTGAAGTGTCCACTGAGTAGTCAGTTAGCAAAAAAAGAAAAAGAAAGAAAGAAAGAAAAGCTGTCCCGGTCTTGTCCCTCCCCTTTGACTTAGCTCCAAGTTCAAAAACGCAGGTGGGTGCCTCAACACCCCTTCGACGTGGGTGATTAATCTTAAAAATACCGCAGGCTTTTCTGACTGTCCCCCTACGCCCTTCCACACACAGATACGCAGTCAACAATTGTACCAAACAATGGGCTTTTTGTCTCTAATTTTAGCCATTTTTAACAGATACTTTAAGTAACAACCTAATTTAACTGCATATTTTGGGCTATGGCTAAATTTTTGCTTTTTCCCCTTCAACACAGCCTGAACCTGAGAAACACTTCAAATGAATTCCTTTGTTTCCGCAAACTTCTGCACCTTTTCTATCGGTACCAAATAAAGTTCCACGATACCCCGTCCTAAGTGATTCCTGAGATACCCTTGGGTTTCGCTTTTGTTTCTTCCTCTATCTTCGAATTTTGGTCATTATATTAATATAACTTACTGCCACTATTAGGGAATGGCAACCCCCTCTAGTATTCTTGCCTGGAGAATCCCATGGACAGAGAAGCCTGGTGGGCTACAGTCCAAGGGGTCAAGAAGAGTCGGACACAACTGAACAACTAACACTTTTACTGCCACTATTTATGACTGTGATCAAACAGAGCAAAAAGCCTTTAAGAACTGAAGACCTCATGTCGTTGGGTCTTTCCTTTCACTGACACGGGCGAGGAGCCGCAGAGGTGTTCTGAACCAGACTTGAGAACGTTTGTGTGTATAAGGGAGAGCGGTATAAGGCACAACTGCGTGTGGCTGGGAAGGCTCTGGAGCTCATCTAATTCAGACCCAGTAGTCATGGTGACGCTGTTGCTGACGAGATGAGGATACAGAGCCCGAAATACCGTCCTATTTTAATGATTCATATTTTAATCGCTCACAAAAATAAGTCTCTAATCAACACTTTGTTTCTTGGGGTTTAGCGTAAATGTCTTCCTGAACTTTTCCCATTTACACGGCCTCACATAGCTGGTGTTCTATCCTGTGGGTTTGAGCAAAGCTTTATTTCAGTAGTAGCCTGAGAAAACGAAAACCCTGGGAAAAAAAGAAAAAAGTGTTCCAGCTGATTACTAAGAAAAATGGGCAGTAATTAATGTGCCCATTTAGAAAGGGGAGGCCAGGAAATGCAGATGGAGTGTGTGTGAAGGTGGCGGACTCTGCTGGTTTGGAGGCAGGCTGGTGTGCGGGGAGGGCCCTGGGGCCTGGGCTGCGGGATGAGCCTCCCCCAGGCGACCTTGAGCAGGTCCCTGACTTTCTGGGAAATGCACATGTCCCCCTCAGAAGAGGATGTGGAGCAGCAGGGTCTGGGTGCATGTGACACCTGGCCCCTCCTTGGAGGTCACTCCAAGGGCTCTGAGTGGTGAGCGGGCATCACTTTCTTTTCCATTTCTCTGTAGGTACAGAGAAAGTGAGTCTACAAAGTGGATGTCCTTTAAGTTCTCCAGGCATCAGTTCCTCATCTGTAAAACGGCAGTATTAGCAGCATCTGGGCTTCCCTGATAGCTCAGCTGGTAAAGAATCCACCTCCAATGCAGGAGACCCTGGTTCAATTCCTGGGTTGGGAAGATCCCCTGGAAAAGGGATAGGCTACCCACTCCAGTATTCTTGGGCTTCCCTGGTGGGTCAGACAATAAAGAATCTGCCCGCAATGCGGGAGACCTGGGTTCGATTCCTGGGTTGGGAAGATCCCCTGGAGAAGGGAATAGCAACCCACTCCAATATTCTTGCCTGGACAATTCCATGGACAGAGGAGCCTGGGGGGCGGGGGGGGGGGGTACAGTCCATGGGGCCACAAAGAGTCGGACACAACTGAGTGACTAAGCACAACACAGCACAGTAGCATCTTCCTCCCAGGAGGGCTTCCCAGGTGGCTCAGTGATAGAAAACCTGCCTGCCGAGGCAGGAGATGTGGGTTCGAGCCCTGGGTGGGGAAGATCCCCTGGAGAAGGAAATGGCAACCCACTCCAGTGTTCTTGCCTGAGAAATCCCATGGACAGAGGAACCTGGCAGGCTCCTGGGGTCACAAAGAGTTGGACACGACTGAGTAGCTAAACAACAATAACGACAACAACCATCACGTTTCAGGGGGCCTAAGAGGAGCCAATGAGGTAATCAGGTAATGCACTCATCACAGCATCTGACAAACAGTGAGAACCCAGCAAACACCAGCTGCTGTGTGACCGCCACTATCTCCACTATTATTACAGATATTATTAAAGTGATTTAGGACAGACCTGTGGACCCTGAGGGAGAACAAAGCAGGAGTGTCTGGGTCAGGTCACAGTTATGTTCCCCTTTTAGAAAAGGCAAGGTGCACTGAGGCCATTCCCCCATCTTGGTCTCTCGGGACGCCTCACCCTGGCTTGATGGGCTAAGCGGGGCTGACCTGTGCTCTGCCCGGTACTTCCCCAGGCACTTCTGCTGCCTCTCTGCAGCTTTTCATCCCAAAATTGGCAAAGGGAGCCAGGAAGAGAAGGCTCCTCTTTGAGTGAGTTGGGGAGAGGAGGTCAGGCAAAGCTCAGCCAGTTCCGTACCTAAGTTTCAAGAGCTAGTAAGACAGCATTTGGAAGTGACACCTGTGACAGCTAGCTAAAGGGTGGGAGCCTGGGCCCAGGGTCCCAGGTTAGGGAAAAACATGATTCTAAGACCGTAGAGTACTGAACCAGTCCATCCACAGATATGTTTCCTTGGCGACCAGAAGCTCAGTTGGGGATCATGGCTGGCTTAGCACAAACACCACTACTCTGGGGCAAAACTAACCCACTGTGTGTGCTGCTGTGTGTGCCTGGCAGGAGTATTTTGTGCCCGATAATGACTTGGAATCTTAAGATTCTACAAGTTTCTTAGATGGAGTCGAACCTGTGTTCAGCAAAAGCCCCCTGCCAAGAAGTAGCTTTGGCTGAGTACTTCCATGATGGGCAGCGGGCCACAACATAAGCAAACCAGTTTTGGACAGCTCTAGTCGCTAGAAGGTTCCTCTGTTGGGCTGGAAGCTGGCCTCTGTAATCTTATGTACCTCGGTTCCTAGTTTTTGGCTTTTAGAGCAGCACAGCATGTGTGTCCCATCTGCAACAGTTTCCTAAATAAATAAAGGTGCCCCCCCCATCCTTTTCCATCTTCACTGGCCCCCAGTTCCTCCAGCACCCAGTATGCTTTCTGGCTACATTCTGAAAATCTTCATATACACAGGAGATGACATCTCAAAAGTGATATTAACAAAAAGATCTCTGGAATAAAGAAGATATTTAAAAAGAAGTTATATTTACTTGCCTGCTGTATAAAGAGCATGAGCCATATATCTAACAAAGCAAATGACCACTGGCCTGAATTCAAGGCACTTGTTCAAGAAACTCTTGGCCTATTCAGTCCTTGATAAATCTTCTCTGTCTTCCCAGAAAAGAAATAACTAGCACTAACCCTAAAAGATGCATCCATTGTACTAAGCAATGAAACCAAGGCTATTGTTTAAGGGACAATAGCTTTTGTGGGTTTCTCCCTCAATCTTCAAGCATACACACATAGTTCATGTATCCACATGCACAAGTGGGTTTGCTGTGAAGCTAGTGAGTTTCAGGGGCCTTCATTTGCATAGTCCCATGAAAGGAAACCGAGGGGACTTTCCTACCAGG